AAGAAGAGCAGGTGACTTGCTTACAAAGCCTGGGGAGTCTGAGAATGTTGGAGATGCTTCTGTCAGATGCCTCAGGCAAAGGTGAAGCTGGAGGTATTTGTAGGGAGAGCCAAGACTTGAAAGCAAAGAGCATTTGCCGGTGATTTCAATAGTAAAGGAATCATAACTCCATTATAGGAAACAACATGGAAAAGTACTTTCAAAACCACCCTGTGGCATGCCTTCCAGAGGCTCCATTAACATATCATCACAGTTTCCTTTTCCCAGGCCCTGTCGTGTGCATGCCTGATTCCTTCTGGAGATCCTAGTTCTATCTCTTGCATTTTGCATTGACGCTGTCAATGGGCATCCTCCCATGTCATTACATAAAACTATGTGAGCATCCCTTTGGTGGATGTCTGCAGAATGGCCCAGATCCAGACCACTCACAATTTGTGCAGCTTCCTCCAGTTGCATCCCTTGGACTTCCTCACACAGGTAGTCTTTGAGGTCCCAGTGTGGCAGTGCTTCTTGTGGTTGTTGGGTCCTCAAATGTATCATCAATAGAGACCAAGCTGGAGCAGTACATTCCTCCAAAAGCAAAGCCCAGGAAAGATGGAGAAGGAAGCAAGGGTTGTTAGCTCCCTTTTCCTGGCAGCAAAATTGAGGCTTCAGATCCAGGCATAGAGCAGTTTGGATGATTTGGCCAAGGGTGTTTTCAGGGGCCTAGAATTACAGTAAGATACAGATTGGCAGTAGGGAAAGGATTTATACTCACAGGTTCCTGGAGAGTGGAGGCACAGTCCATCATGCAGGGCTAATGGGAATCCCCTGGAGGCAGCAGAGGTACCTGGGCAGTGTCAGCAAGTACCTTCCAGAGCAGGAACTGTCAAGGCTGGGTTTCAAGGTTCAGGATTGGCTTGGTTCAATATTTTATTTAGGTTTTAAGGCATAGTGGCTGTCCTGGGTTGCCTATTCCTGCCCCTGGGGTGGTTGAAGCAAGGAAGGAAAGAACAGAGTATGGAAGCCTAAAGGACAAGGGGTCTGAGAATAACTGTTTTGGTTGAATGGCATCAGGGAAGCACTTCTGGACTGGTATGTCACCATCTCTAGGAACCCGGGGAGGGGCAGTCCCTGTAGGTGGGCAGGGCCCAAGGGCCAAGGTCTCAGAAGTAATTTTTCTTATTTTCTTTCCTTCCTTCTTTCCTTCCTTCCTTCCTTCCTTCCCTCTTTTCTCTTTCTTTCTTTCTTTCTTTCTTTCATTCATTCTTTCTTTCCTTCTTTCTTTCTTTCTTTCTTTCTTTCTTTCTTCTTTCCCTCCTTCCTTCCTTCCTTCCTTCCTTCCTTCCTTCCTTCCTTTCCTTCCTTTCTTTCTTTCTTTCTTTCTTTCTTTCTTTCTTTCTTTCTTTCTTCTTTCTTTCTTTCTTCTTTCACAGGGTCTCCTGTAGCCCTAGCTGGTCTGAAACTCACTATAGACCAGGCTGGCCTTGAACTCACAGAGATCTCTCTGCCTCTGCCTCCTGAATGCTAGATTTAAAGGCATGTACCACCATACCCAACAGAAATACTTCCTCTTCCTCCTCCTCCTCCTCCTCCTCCTCCTCCTCCTCCATCTTTTTTTATTTTTGTCTTTAGCTCTAGTCTGCAGCACAGACAGGGTGATCAAGGACATCCTACACTCAGGAAGGACTTGGCATGGGCTTTATTCACAGATAGGCGGAAGGAGGTGTTATAAGCTCAGCAGAAGGCAGCATCACTGGAACAGATGGTAGAGAAACTTCCTGTGTTATTCATTCCTGACTCAGCTCTGCCATCAACCAACTGAGGGGCAAGAAGGAAGTTTCTTACCCTCTGGGTCTCCTTGTGGCAGCACTTGTCCCTCAGTGGCAGGAACAGGGAGTGAGCCTTCTCCCACTGTTGGTGTGTTAATGCTTTCCTGGAAATGCCCACTGGTATCTTCACTCTGCTGCTTCTGCACTTCTCTGGAGGCTAAGACAAGAGGTGACCTACTGGAAGTGGCTGCCGTAGTGCATTCAGGATGCTATAACAGAATACATAGACTATGTGGTTTATAAGCAATAGAAATTTATTCCTGGAAATTTGACTGGAAGTCTGTAATTCAATGGAAGTCTGCTTCCTGGTTCATAGACAGTACCTTCTCCCCATATCTGCATGCAATAAAAGGAACATAGGTCTTTCTCAGGCTGCCTTTATTATTTTATTTTACTTTATTTTATTTTTTGTATTTTTGAGACAGGGTCTCCCTGTAGCCCAGCTGGCCTGGAGCTTGCTATGTAGACCGGCTGGTCTCGAACTCACAAAGATCCACTTACCTCTCTGCCTCCCAAGTGCTGGGATTAAAGGCATGCACCATCACTCCTGGTCTCTCAGGTTGCCTTTATAAGGGCTCTTTTATAAGGGCTCTGTCCCCAACTCCTCTGAAAGGACTCACTTCCTAATTCCCATCATCTCAGGGATTAGGATTTCAACAGATGTGTTTGGGAGGGACACAGACACTTAGATCACAGCAGTGGATAATAAGGAAGTGGGAGCCCTGTTTTGGAAACCTCTAAACCTAAAAGCCCCTAGAGACACAGCATAAAACTGTTTAGAATTGTTCAGTTGCCTGGTTGGGTGTATGAGTGATAATGGGGATTCAGAAGAAAGGAGGACCAAGCAGAGGCTGGAAGAGGCAAGGAAGGCTGCCTAGGTGGAGGAAATGAAAAGCTGACTGGTCAGAGGGAAGATGCTGCCCTATTTTAAACCAGGAGGAGAGAGGAGACATAGGGAAGTGACCCAGATGGCTTGTAGACACTGGAGGTATGTCTGTAAGTCTCCAGCTCCCGGAGGGACTCTAAGCTTCTAATTATCTCAACAACATTTGCATCTGGAACTTTTCTTAGCAGCAGCCTGGGATCATGACTTTGCTCAACCCAAGGTTCCAAAGGCTTAGTGACAGGGCTCTGGTTGCAAATGAAACCGTTTGTGATAAGACACCAGATCTTACTTTCCGTTATGTGACTGGAAAACTACATGAGTTAGAGCCAAGGTCATGGGCTTGTATGGTGGCCCCAGGCTGACCCCTTCTTCTTAGGTTCTTAGTTGCAGATAACAGAATCTTAGTCAGCTAACTAAAGGAGAAAGGGATTTATTAAAGACACAGATAGTTCAGGATCTTTGAGAAAACTGAGGTTGCTGAGTAAAGGCATTGTGAAATGGGGCTGCTGCTCTGATGTAATCATGAAGGTGCTATCATGCCTGAAGTTTCCAAGAACCATGCCACTTCTGCCTGTTCTGCACCTGTGAAGCCAGGCCTTACACCTTGCCATCTTTCTTAGGTAGCAACTTGGAATCAGTCTCATTCGAATGTTTCTGATTGGTTGAACCTAAATTGTACCCAGAGCCCTAGCAGCAAAAGAGTCTGGGAAATGTAGTCTTTGGCTTGCCTGCTTCTGTAGTGCAGGAGATAGAGAGATAACAAGAACATAATCAGACTCACAATACAATGTTATTTGCTTTAATTAAGAGACAGTGTGATGCCGGGCATGGTGGCACACGCCTTTATTCCCAGCACTCAGGAAGCAGAGGCAGGCGGATCTCTTGTGGGTTCAAGGCCAGCCTGGTCTACATAGTGAGTTCCAGGACAGCTGGAGCTACAGGGAGACCCTGTCTCAAAAAGACCACCCCCCAAAAAAGATAGTGTGAAGGAGTCTGGAGTAGGGGGGTCACAGAAGCATTCCCCAAAATGTGAGCCTTTGACCTGGATGTTGAAGTTAAATAGTTCCAAAACAAAAGGGAAAGAGGGTGAGTTTGATATTTCAGGGACCCTCCATTTCTAGTTCTCATGAACTCCCCCTAAATTCTTTCATGACATGTGGATTAGGAGGTAATTTAGTTTGGAAATAGGAGCCAATTTGTTGTATAGAACATTTTTTGGTCTCTTTTTGTGGCTTTGTGAATGCTAGGCAAGCATTCTACCACTGAGCTGTATCCCCAGCCGTGCTTCAGCCTCTGTGCGTGTGTTACTGTGTGGACAGTAAGGGCACACGTGCAATGACTGCAGTCATGGTGGGGAGCTCCTGAGGCATGCTCCAGGAATGCCTGTGTTTCCAGTCATTGGTCCTGGCTCTCTAATGGCCTTAGGATGCCTCTCTCACTTCTAGTTCTTGAGGGCTACATGTCATGAGGATAGTGACCCAACATTTAGTGTGACATGCCCTGTAGTTTTTAGGGTCTCTCTATGTAGCCCTGGCTGGCCTGGAACTCACTTTGTAGACCAAGCTGGCCTTGAACTCATAGAGATCCACTTGTCTCTGTTTCCCAAGTGTTGGAATTAAAGGCGTGTGCCACCACACCTGGTTGAGGCTGTCCTGGCCTCTAGTACCCCAGATGCAGAACCACCTCTGAAAGGGGAGAAACTACCAGGGAAGATCACCTGGCTTATGCTCAGGGAGGTGGCTCCTTATTCTTGGTCTGTGGGGCACACCAGCTGTTCTGGTATGCAGAAGGGGGCAAGAGCAGACTTGTCTCACTGACAGCACAGTGTGAACATGAGCAAGGGAGCTGATGGAAATGGAAATGCTTTGTAAATGGAAGAAACAGTAGGCTCAGTTGTGCCTGTGGTTGTGTTGTAGGACGTTGTCCCAAGAGTGAGAGAAAGGAAAAAAGAGCAGGAAAGGTGGGCTGACTCACTACTTGCCTCTCGGGGTGGCTGCTGGATGCCTCCAGTCTCTAGCTTTATCTGATCACAGTGCACATAACTGGCTTCTCCCTCATAGCCACTCACTTTCAATGTTGGCTGAAGTGGGCTTTGCTCCTATAAATGTTTGCAGTTCCAGGGCACTGGGATGCTCCCACCTAGAGCCCCCCGTTGGGTCCTCTGCTAGGGTGGGCTGGTTTGCTTTCTTTGTTCAACTAGGACAGACAGACTCCTTTTAACAAGGACCCTTAGCAGGCCTTGGAAAACTTTGTCTGCTTCTGGTGTGCTTCTTTGTGTAACCTCTGTTCCTGTTGGTTCTCAGGTACTTTGAATTTTACAAGGGGCCTTTAGAATATAACTCCACGCGATGCCTGGAGCTGAGGCACGAGATCCTGGAGGTGAAGGTGCTGTCCATGTGAGTGTGGCTGGGCTGGGCGGGGGTGCAAGTTCAAGTGCATGTGGAGGTGGGATGGAGTGGGACAGACCTCAGTACCAAAAGAAGCAAGAAACACAAGGTAGACCTTGTGGAATGGAAATTAGATCTTTTTCTGGCATCAGAAAGCCCTAGAAACTATTTTATGATAAAAGGCCAAGTTTGCAAGGTCACCTCTGCTGATAGGGTGTTAAAGCCCTGGCTCAGTTACCAGTCTCCTTGATTGTTATCACTGGGCTTCCTTTGAGTCGAAATCCAAGAGGCATGGGAGCATCTGACCTGAAATTCAGTACTTTGTACCACAGGGTTGAGCATTTCCCTCTTGCTGTTGCCTTTTACAGTTTTCTTTTCATTGCAAGTTTTGATTTGTTAACTACTTAAATGCTACAGTATTGAAGTACTGTACAAGAGTAGGTGATGAAGCATCCCCTTCTCACAGACACTGAGTTCTCATTCTTGAAGGTCCAGTGTGCCCTTGTGTATCCCTTCCACAGTGTGTTGGTGCACAACAAACATCTGTATGTGGAGATTCTTTAAATACATTTTTTTATACAAATGGCAGAACACTGCCTACTCCTTCCATCCAACATCTCATCACCTTACAGCCTGTGGTGGGAAAAGCTGAACCTCTCAGTGTCTGTGCCCACCTGAGTCTTCCCTCTTTTGCTGTGGCTGCTGTGAATTCATTAGTCTTACTCAGAGGAATTTGGATTATATTAATCACGTCAGGATCTGTCTTTATGTGGAAGCAATTAGATGTAGACAAACTATAATTTACTCAGAAGTAATGCTGAGTGCTTCTTGTATGGACTTATGGCCCCCTGGCTTAACCCCAGGGACCTCTGCCCATGGCAGCCAAAAGCCTTGGCTAATGTGATGCCAGATGGTATGGGAGAAAGTGTGGGCCTTGGTCTCAGGCAGACCTGAGACCCAAAGCTAGACTTTAACAGCTCTGATTATTACATACATTGCTTAATTTTTCTGAGCCTTTCCTAACTTATAAAATGGAGACAGCATTACCTATCTATAGGGGTTGCTGCATACTTGTGGAAATAGTTGCAAAGTGGACAGTAAGTGCTGACTAGGGTGGTGGCATAGTGGCACGCAGGATAGGTACTCAGTGGGTGCTAGTGCTCTGCTTTCTCTCTCCCTCCACCCCTTTCTTTTTTTCTGGAATTGGCAAGGGCCGTTCTTCTGGGTTATCACACACATTTTCCATCACTATAGAGACTGAGATAATGAACTTACAGGGAGAAAAGGTTTCTTTTGGCTTATAGTTTTGGAGGCTTCAATCGATGGTCAGTTGGCCCCATTGCTTCTGGGCCTATGTAGAGGCAGCATGCCATGATAGGTAGTGTGGAACAAAGCTGTTCTTTTCATGACCAGGATGCATAAAAAAGAAAGAGGAAGAGACCAGGTTTAGCTTCTTCAAGAGCATACCTCAATGACCTGGAGATCTCCCACTAGACCTTACCTCTAAAAGGCTCCACAACCTCCAAATAGCACCACTCTGGAAACCATCTTTCAACACATAAGCCTTTAGGAGACATTTAAGATCTAAACTATAGCAGATTCATAAGCTTAGCAGCTTCTGGAGAGCCCCAAGAGTAAGGTCACACATCTAGCTTGATTAACTGTGTTGATTATGTCCCTGTATGGATCAGTAGTCTATGCAATCTCCCTAGAGATGAACACAACCTACCTCCCATATGGTCCAACTTACCCTGACCTGAGCATACACCACTGTGGTCCCACCCCTCAGGGAGCCTGTAGCCCAGTGGGGGAAACAGACATGAGTAATTCTAAGGAGACAAAGGTGATGGGGAGCTTGACCTAGGTTGGATGATGCCAGACAAGGGATCACAGAAAAAGTGTGGTTAGAGTTCTGCTTTGCAAGGTGACAGGTGTTAACTAGGTCAGGAAGATCCCAAAATGGAACAATTGTATGAGGCCTTGAGCCAGGAGAGAGCCTGCTGGGTCCTGGCTCCAAAGGACCAGAGCAGCTTGTAGGCCAGAATGTGAGGGAGGGAGCAATGTGCCTATGTCTGCACCAAGTCTTTTTCTAAGGGCCCATAGGACATAGGAGTTCTGATTGGTATTAGGGAATGCTCCTGAGGAATTAAGTGATAAAGCCCACCCAGACCTCAGCTAGGTATTAAATTAATGAGCCAAAGGTCCATGCTTGTCTTTCCTTAGAATCCAAATATTTCAGGCCTTTACATGTTTAGCTGAGATTGTAGAGAACCCTTATCAACAGTTTTCCTCAGAGTTTTCAAAGGAAAAATAGTTAATCTTAAAAATTAGAATATATGATTTCTTCATGGGTACTTCAAGGTCTGGAAAGGAAGTGCTGAGGAACCTGTAAACTTTCAGGATAATTGCTCATTCCTCAAGCTACAGATTTTCTTTATGGTGGTGGTGGTCCCTATGTCAGTTTTCTAGACCTTCCACCACAACATTCCATGGTCAGATCTTTCTTTCTTTCTTTCTTTCTTTCTTTCTTTCTTTCTTTCTTTCTTTCTCTCTCTCTCTCTTTCTTTCTTCTTTTTTATGTGTGTGCATATGCATGCATGCGTGTGTGTGTGTGTGTGTGTGTGTGTGTGTATGTATGTATGTAGAGGACTGAGGTTGATGTCAAGAATCATTTCCATCCCTCTTCTACCTTATTAATTGAGGCAGGGTCTCTCAATTAAACCCAGAGTTGCCGACAGGGCTAGTTTTACTAGCCAGCTTGCTGTGGAGATCCCTGTCTCTGCTTTGCTGCCACCTGACATTTTACCTCAGTTCTGGGGATCTGAACTCCAGTCCTCACGCTTATGTGGCAAGTGCTTTAACCACTGAGCTGTCACCCTGGCCCCAGATCAGGTCATTTATTTCCTCGCAGTTCTAGAGGCAGGCAGCTTGAGAACAGTGTTGCAGGGCTGGTTTCTCCCAAGGCCTCTCTTCCATTTGATCATGGCCATCCTCTCACTGTGTCCTCACATGGCTGCCCCTCAGCCTGTGTCTTGTGTCCCATCTCCTTATAAGGATTTCAGTCAAATTGGACTAGGGCCCACCCCAGTGGCTTCATTTCCCCCTAATTTCATAGTTAAAGATCACATCTTCAAATACAGTTATACTATGAGGTTAGGACTTCCAGATACAGATTTTGTGGGTGGCACGATTCGGCTAATAAGAGTTCCTATTATGACTGATATTCAAGAGATCAGATGAGAAATTACCAAGATGCTTTGATTTGAGCCTACAAACAATATGAGGGGAGTGGAGAGCAACCTCACATTTCCTGATGTTGCTAGGAATGGACTCCTGTTGGTGTTTGGGTCTTTCCACATTTGGTGTTAGCTCTCATCTGTGCCTTTGCATACTTGTCTGGTCCTACAGGAGGGTTTCCTGGGCTGAGGAGCCATCCCAGCTGATGGCCTCAGCCTTGCAGAAACTCTCTCTTCTATAGCAGCTGCCCTCTCTGGAGTCCTGAGTCCTGGGAGCCTGTGTAGGAGTAGAGGCAAGACTGGGCCATTCACAGGGTATCAATTGTGTCAGCCTGGGGGATATCAGGAAAAAGCAAGCCCAGTGCCTCCCTTCCTGAATCCCTAAACTGAGGGCCTGTGGATCCTCCAGGGGAGATATTAGAGGGCCTCAGAGTTTTGCCTCTGATCCAAGGGGTGCCGAGATTATCTGGGGACCTGTGCACTTTGCTGTGCTTCAGCTCAGTACCATGAGCTAGACTCATGCAGTACCAACCAAGCTATATCAGACCCCATTTGTGGATGGAGGCAGCTGGATGGCTATGTGCCCTTTAGGCACACAGAGTATCATCTGTTTTGTTCAAGGACACAAGGAGATATGTGATTCCTGTAGGAATAATTTTGATCCAAAATTGCTCAAATCAATGGTAAAAATCAGTCAGCCAGAAAATTTCCACATGGAACATGCTCTGGTCCCTCGCCATGTCATTTGTCATGAAAATACATTGCTTCGGATTCTTGTTCAAATTATTTATGCTTGGTTTAGTAATTCGAGTGTCTCTGTCTTTAAAGGCAAACCTTCCCTTGCTGCCCATGCACACACCCACAGGAGGGTCATTCTTGAGAATGCTTCTGCTAGCCTCTCCAGCTTCCTTCTCTACCCTACCATGAGGCCATGCAGAGAAGCTGGGGTCTGTGGCCATGGGCAAGATGCCCATTCTCTGGTATGGGATGCCCTTCATGCTCCTCGAATCTTGGTTCCAAAATAGCTTTCACAAGTCCTCTGTGTCCTCTGTCAGGCTGGGGCTCAGTAAAGGAGAACCCGGGCTCAGTCATCTTGGAGTTAAGACCATGAAAGGCTCAGGATGCACTTGTACAATGAATAAGTGGGAAGAGAAATGGGTGAGACTTGAGTGCAAACAGAGGAGGCCCTGGTAAGAATGGGAGAGAACAGGAAAGGGTAACCAGACTGTCACTGTCATTTCAAGTGTTGATTTAGATCAAAATAGCTTATAATTGTCATAAGCCACTGCAGGCCCCAGGCCTTCTCACTCTGGCTGTATTCTTTTCTGCTCTCCACTGCTTTTCCTGGTAAGCACCTCCATCCCTCCCAGTGACATATGAATGCTTCTATTTGTCAGCTCACCACTTTTCTCCAGGGTTCACAGATGTCCTGCTTTGATAGGTGAGGATTCTACCTCCTTCCACAAGACCCAACTCCCTCCTCTCATTTCCCTAGTTGAAGTGTGCTATGGTTTGGATGTGGTTTGTCCCCAAGTTTTCATGGGCTAGAGCCTTGAGGTGTTGGTGCCTTTAAGAAGCTGGGCCTGGAAAGAGGCAATTAGATTGCCGGAGGCATCACCCTTGGAAGAGATTAAAGATGATCTTATTGAGTAAATCAGTTTCTTAAGAATAGGTTGCAGGGCTGGGGAGATGGCTCAGTTGGTAAAGTGTCTGCCACATAAGCATGGAGGCCCGAGTTAGGATCCCCAGCACCCACACAAAAGCTGGGTGTGG